TCATATGTATAGTATTTAAAAAGATTTTTTTTTCGTTTTTCGAGACAGGGTTTTTCTGTGGCTTTGGAGGCTGTCCTGGAACTCACTTGGTAGTCCAGGCTGGTCTCAAACTCACAGAGATCCGCCTGCCTCTGCCTCCCGAGTGCTGGGATTAAAGGCGTGCGCCACCAACGCCCGGCCAGATCTTTTTTTTTTTTTTTTTTTACTAAAGTAATTATTTCTTTTCCATCCAGTTTGCAGTTACAGTGAGCTTTGTTTTACTATGCTCATCATGAAATTATCTCATCTTCTGCCTTCAAAACTATGGGATTTTGAATGTATTTCTTTAGGGCTATAGTTTAGGATAGAATAGTTACTTAACATAGGTCAGGCCCTGGACTCAAGCCCCAGTACCACAAAACAAAACAAAACAAAACAAAACAAAGCATTATTTTTATCAAAAGTATATGCATTCAGAGGTAATAAAGTCCACACGGTTTAGTGGTCAGAGATCAAGTGAGAAATTACTGTGTTTATTTTAGTTACCAAATACAGGAGGGAGTTAAGAGGTTTGAAGCATACGTTTTCAGGACCATATTCTCTGACTTAAGTTGTGGTTCTGCTACTTAATATGAACTTTGTGACCTTGACTTACTTACTTGGTGTCCATGCACCTAGGTTTCTTTGCCTACCAATTGTAGGTAGTCATTCCTACATCGTATGGTTGCTATGAGAGTTAAGTGAGCCCCTATGTGTCAAGTTCTCAGTACTTCTCAGATTATAGCAAGTATTCAAAAGATGATCATTTTATTCTTTGCTTTTAGAAATCAGACTTTCTCTTTTTGATGATGATGAATGTGTGTGTGTGTGTGTGTGTGTGTGTGTGTGTATGTGTGTGTGTGTCCGTCCTTGGAGGCCAGAAGAGGGAGCTGACTGGAGCTGGAGTTCCGGAAAGATGTTCGCAAGATGCTTGATGCTGAAAGAACAGCAAATGCTTTTTTATATGATCTAGGTTCACTTGTCCAGGGGTGGCCCCTAGGTCTTCTCACATCAATGCACATAATCAAGACAGCTGACCATAGACATGCCTGTAGGTCAACTTTATCTAGATAGTCCTCTTTAAGGTTATTTTCCCAGGGAGTTCTAGACTGTGCCATCCTGCTCCTTAAAAGTAACCATTACGTTGACAAAGATGTTTTTGTTTGTATCCTGAAATCTATTGTTTTAGCAGGAAATTTTACACAAAATTTATGTTCAATTCACAATCTGCAGTTTCTTCTTATCATTTTATTTATTATTATTATTATTATTATTATTATTATTATTATTATTCTGCTGTTTTGTTGTTTTGAGATGAGTCTTTGGTAGCCATAGCTGGCCTTAAGCTCAGTATCTAGCTAAGGTTGATCTTGAATCCCTCATCCTACTCCCTTAACCTTCTGAGAGCTGGGACGACAGTCATGAGCCAGAACACTTTACTTTCTTTCCACCATATTCTTACATCTCTAATGGTGTTTCAGTTGTGTGTGAAGGGTCTGGAAGCACTTTCTGTATGCTCTAAAGTTTCCTTTATAAATCTTAATATGTTAATTTGCTCATCCAGTCATTTTTATATTGACTATTATTGAATATGACGTTTGTATATTCAGCAAGGAACAACAACAACAACAACAAAAAAACTGCTACTCATAAGCTTACACTCAGATTTCAGAACTGGTCATTAAATATTAAGGGCGTATCTGTGTGAATAATTGTTCATGACACCTCTCCAGTCCTGAACATTACCAGTGTAAACATCATGCCAGTTATTCACTAATGTATTAAAGAATGTAATAACTTTCTGCTTTTTAAAGTCTCTAAATCACTATGGTTTTTAAAATAAACAAGTAAAGAGATTTAGTCTTAGAAATGGATTTAGCGATAGTCTGTTGACAGCTATTTCATTCATTTGCCCCTTCTCCAAATGATAGCAATCTTAAAAAAAACCCTCCTCATGACTCATCGTTAAAACTGGGAAATGGAGCATGCTTTTCCAGAGGTTCCCAGCGTGCTCACACTTAAGACTGTGGGAAAGGATGCAGCTGAACAGTATATATGAACAATATGTGCTGAAAATCATTGACTGTGGACAAATCACAAATTTCTAGTATTCTTTAATCGCATGCTTCCTCTGTGGATTATGTAGGAAATACTTCAGTTTGAATAACTGTTCCTAAGGGAGAAGCCTTCAAAATGTTTTACACACACACACACGCACACACACACACACACACACACAGACACACGCACACAGATAGAGACAGAGAGAGATACAGAGAGACAGAGATAGAGACACAGAGACACAGAGAGACAGCCCATGAGCACAGGCTGTAGAATACTAATCAGTTAAGTGCACATGCCTAGTATAACAAAGAACAGTTTAGTCATCTGGGTGTGGTGGCTCACATCTTTCATCTCGGCACATAGGAGCTCAGGAGGCAGAGGCAGGCAGAACTCTACAAGTTGGAGGTCAACTTGGTTTACATGTCCAGAATAGCCAGGACTACAGAGACACTGCCTCAGGAGAAAAACCAAACCAAAACAAAACCCAACATACTTTGAAGGTAGCAACAGTATCTGATTGTAAGCCATTTTTCTGTATGATCTTGCTTATTACCACATTGTTTAAAACTAATAGCAATAGTGGGCAGCTAATCCAAAGGTTAAAGTAAATAGTAGAAGGGGATTCACTTTCCATAACATAAAACAAACCCCGAAAACTCTTTCTGGATGTTTGCAGAAGAAATAACTTCATTTTCTTTAGTTGGCCTGACCTAGGCTCTTAAAGAACAGTGGGTTGTTTCTACTCTTCTTCGCTGCATTGTGGATTGGAGCCAGCCATTAAGAAACTCTGTAGAGGGGAAATGATACATTTCCAGAGTTTACTTTGGTGGTTTTCAACTTGGAACTGTTGTGTGTGGTATGGATGCCAGGAGGGTGTGTATTTTTCAAACTTATCTCCACCTTTGTAATAATAATAATGATGATGATGATGCCAGGTTGTATGTATTTTTTGAAGTTATTTCTACCTTTGTAATAATAATAATAGTAATAATAATAATAAAATTCAACTGATATGCTTCTGATGGTTCTGAATCATCTGTAGCCTACTCGCACACTTTCTGCCTATATCAGAACTCACTTTCAGGGACTGTGAATAGGCAATCCATTGTAGGAACTGTGAATGAAGTATCCATTATTATTCTATAAGATACAGCTAGTTACACATAAAAGCATAATAGTTTCTCCTTTTAAACATTTTATTTATGTATTTGTTGTTAATGTATGTATGTGGTGTGTAAGCATGTGTGCCAGGGCACCTGGGTAGAGGTCAGAGGGCAGCTTTGTGTATTCCTGCCATCTTTATGGGGGTTTATGTCATCAGGCTTTCACGCTTTTTCTGCAGAACCATCTTACCTGTGTTCCCTCTCCCCCATTTCATTCTCCCTCCCCCTTAATTGAGTTAACTCAGATCTAGAAAAACTGAGCCTAAACAAATGCAATTTCACATATGTTTAGTAGCGAATACATTTAGGGGAATGATATATTACATGTATGCTGTTAGAATAGGAGTTACTGGGCTGTTCTCTGGTGGGTTGAGATGTAGGTAACTCTTAATTGTGGAGGTGAAGAGTCTTTAAGAATAAGGACACATACATACCATATACACATTCTGCTCTGTAAAGTGGCAAGCTTTTCCAGATGGAGAGTAGGGTTACTTGGTATAGAAGGCATGTACTGGGCATGTGCAACATTAAAATACAGTGCCTCTGTCTTTCTGTATCTCTTTGATCCACCTGCAGTTGTCATGTCAAAAAGAAAGCATCTTTTTTTTTTATTTTTACTTTATGTTGTATGAAAAAGGGTTTTACACTCCCAGGCTACCTTGACCTTGACCTTCTGGTCCTCCTGCCTCCACCTGGTGATCTTCATTTTACTTCATTCTATTGAGACAGGATGTTTCTGTGTAGCTCCAGATCCTCCAACTTTAGCTCACCGAGGCTAGGATCATAGGCATGTTCCCCTGAACCAAGTCTAAGAGGAAGGTTATTATTAGAATGACGAATTGATATTGGGAATAGGGTCAACATTTAAAGGGCCATTGTTGAGATTTGTGTTGGGGCAGTATTCTAGGAAGACTCTCTGCAGCCCCTGATGGCCATTAATTTCCCGTGTGTGCTTAGTAAGTCAAAGGACTAAACACACATTTTTTTTAATGAGCCTTAAATATGACAGATTCATACTTTTTCTGTAATACAGAAATGAAGTAGGAAAAAAATCCTGAGACTTGAAGTTTTAAGGTGGGGCTGTTTCCTCACTGGTTTTGGAGAATGGAGGGTTAATAATGACTCAAGCTAGTCAACCACTAGTGATGTTTCAAGTCCCGGTGTTTCTGGGGTGTTTGCCATGTGCTGCTTTGAATGAATGACTTGAGTGGGAATATTAAGAGTTTCCTTCCTGACTTAACTTCTTTCAGAATCCTAGTGCTGCCGACATTCCTTTACATTAGTCTTATGTGAAAAAACACTCGTTTTTGCAGCAGGGCACATCTTTTAAGAGTGAGTAAGTGATCAAGCTATAAATGTAACTCTCCAATGATGAAAGCTGCTTGGAAATTATCTCTGACTGTGAATTTTCTCAACCCTTGTAGCGCACTGTTAAATGCATTTAAAAAAATCACAACACTTATCTAAGGGTCTAATTGAGAAGAATATTGCCTTGGGAAATAGCTCTGCCCGAGACAACTGTCTGCTCTGTTTCTTTTCAGATTTAAAAACCCAAGTCCCACTTCACCGTCTGCACACAGTAATTACCTCTCTGAAATGAGCAAAGAGGTCCTTAAAAGGGTCTGCCGGCTTCCCCGGCTCTTTCCGGGGTGAGCGGGATGCGGGGCTGATAACCCAGCTGCCTAGGAACTGAGCAGGGCCGGCTGCAAACTCCTCAGCTGTTGACAGGCTGGCCTCGCTGAGAACACTGGTTAAATATAGCACGCGCAGCTCAGCGCCCCAACAAAGTCACCGCGCTGACAGTGTGCGGGAGCCGCAGAGGAGAAACCTAATCTCAGAACCCAACAACACCTAGCAACAGTTGAAAAAACTTTGAAACAAAAGTCGGGGTGGGAGATAGGCGGCTTCCAATTCCTGCTGATTCCGACTGAAGGAGAAGCTGCAGCTACTCTGAGTCGTTTCCTGTATGACTTCAGCTACTGGCTAGTCCCAGCAGAGTGGGAAAAGCGTTTTTCTTTAGCCTTCTTTTGGGCTGGCTAGTTTTCCAGGACTCAGTCTTGGGCTGTGGGACAAGCCACTGGCTTCTTCAAGGGATAAACCTTCCGAGAAAGGACACATCTTTGGTTAAAGGAGCCGCCAGCAGGTAAGACACCCCTGCTCCCCAAAAGATATTTACTCTTTTAAGAAATCTGTTTCCACAAGAAGACGGTTCGCTCCAATTCTACTTTGTCTCTTGCTTGGACCGCTCCTGTTCTGTGATGGGATAGCACGTGTAGGAATTACTAGACTCTGTGTGGATTCCTAAAAAAAACAGAAACTTCTCTTTCTCAGTCTTACCAATTTCCTTTTAAACACAATGTTTTGTGATGTCTTGACAGTCGTCAAGCTAGCCCTGCTGAGTTATTCCTGTTCTTGCAGGTAATAGGAATATGAGGAGAATACAGCTCCTTTCACATCCAGGGTAACTAAGCCACAGAGAGGACATTTCCTCCGGGGGCAAAATTGCTTTTATTTACTGTAAATAGTGTGGTAACAGAGGAGAGTCCTGTCTGGTGGTCCTGTTGCCACGCTGTTGACCGGCTTCTTTGCACCGCTGGGTTTGCCCGATTCTCTGATTGCACCCACACCTTGTGCTGGGTCTGACCTCATTTGCCGGCAGTTGCCCAAATGCATCTGACGTGCACGAAATATGCCTGCTGCTGATCCATGGCTTTTGTAGTAGTTTGCATAAGATTCATATTCAGAAGAATATCATGTTAATTAAACTGGCCTAATGGAGTGATTGCTTTTGTGCGGACACAATAGATTCTGCTTTAAGAAATTTAGACGGAATTTCTTTAGAAAAAAAATCCTTCCATAAGCTGCATGGGTGTAAGAGTGTGTTTACAGTAGTGTGAAGGGAGTTCTTATATCCTTTGAGAGTGTGTTGTCTCCCTGTCCACGAGGTGACATGCTCCTTAATCAGAGTTGCTTACAGTGAACAGGTTCATGGTCAGTCTCATAGCTCGTGGACACATGTGGCTGATGAAGTCAATTTTGATTTCTGGTGGTCTGTAGTGGGGGCCAAATTTGCATAAGAGGATGGATTATTTCTTCAAGTAATCCAGAGAGTTTGGATAAATGAACCCAAGGATAATATCCAAGAAAATACCGAGGAATATTTTTAAAAAGCAATTATTTGAACACTGGCTCATTCTTATAATCCATCACTGGGAAGAAGACTGAGGCAGGAGGACAGCTGTGAGTTCAAAGCAAATCTGAGCTACACAGCAAATTTCAGCCCAGCCTTTAAAACAAGGCAAAACAAAACAGAAAACCTATTTGTGTCTATTTTGTCAATGTGAAAAAAGACTTTCCATTAGCAAGTTTGGATTTTTTTTTGACAAACAGGACTATGTAAGCCTTTTTGGTAAATGTTCCCATCCTAAGAATAGTGGCTTGATGACTATACAGTTTGTGTTTAGGGAAAAGAAACACCACTGTCATTTCACTGTGTATCATGTAACATGCTTCTGATTACACGATTAGCTTGCAAAGTAAAAGAAGCTAGTCCTATATAATCAACATATAGGAATACTAGTGAGTGTGCATGCCAGTTGCTACCCGGTGACAGAGGCAACTCATGGTTCTTTGCTGGAGATGAAGTATCTTTGTCTTAAAAGACTTAGGAAAAGTCAGAACTAGATGTGCTACATTTTTCTTGTTTTACTCCTAGGAAGAGTTACATTGCTGGCTTCCGCATGCGTCGGGAAGGCCAGAGTCTGCCATTGGTTTGAGGCATTCGATTTTCTCTGAAGTCATTGAGACAGCTTTTAGATAACAGCACAGTGCTTGGCCCTGAGTGAAAGCCATATCTGCTGAAGTGGAGTTTTGAGTATCATTAATTGTTTCCATGGTTCTAAGTTTCCCCTTGAGAATTAAGGGGTGATAAGTTAAACCACGTGGTCTCCTCCACTGTCTGAACAAACTATCACACTCCAGGAATACACAGACCCATCCCCGATTCACTCAAGTGCATGCTTGTGTGCTGTTTTGGAGTGTCCCCTTTTCCCTTCCCCTAAAGAGCGGTTGGACTCCACTGCTGTTCTTTTCAATTCAGGATATGCCACTGCTGACCACTTTCAGCCTCATTACCATCCCAACCACGCCGCTGGTGATCAAGGGACTAACTTTTCCACTTTGCTGTGCTTGTCTGTCTACACTTTGGTTTTCCGGAGGGACCCCTTGTTTCTGCCAAACACCAAGCTGGGCATTTGAAAATCTTCCATCATCTGGCACCTACTTAACTTTTCTTTTCTTCTTCTTCTTCTTCTTCTTCTTCTTCTTCTTCTTCTTCTTCTTCTTCTTCTTCTTCTTCTTCTTCTTCTTCTTCTTCTTCTTCTTCTTCTTCTTCTTCTTCTTCTTCTTCTTTTTTTGGTTTTACGAGGCAGGGTTTCTTTGTATTGTTTTGCAGGCTGTTGGTCCAGCCCGGCCTCGAACTCACAGAGATCTGCCTGCCTCTGCCTCCTGAGTGCTGGTATTAAAGGCGTGCACCACCACCGCCCGGCACTAGTTAACTTTTCTAGTTTCATTCCCACTACTCAGCAAAAGGTCCCTGGCTTCAGGTACTTCAGGTCAGAGACCATTCTTCAAACACAGGAACAGTGGCTACTTTAAGATGTTACCCCTCCTCATGCCATTCACCTTGCCTGGGACACACTCTGCTCCTGTAGAGACCTTGTTTATTCTTTGAGACGCAGACCATGGTCTCCCATCTTCACAGTGATTCCAGAAGAGACTCCTCGGTTTGGACACGTGTATGCTGTTTGTATCAGGGTTCTTCATGGTAGGAGTGGCCTCATGAAAGTTGGGAAAGTTTTGTGAAATCTGGATAGCTCTGGAGCCTCTTGGCCCTGTGTACACTGTGGGCAATCTGTTAAGTTCTTAGGTTCTAGATATCTAATGATGAGTATATGAGAATGTATAAAATAAAAAACCAGAGAGAAGTATGGTTAATAGTGTTTTACCTGAAACTTTTCTCAGTGAAAATCTTCATAGTGACATGTCTGACTGTGGAGATGATATTGTATGCCTCACAAATGATATCAAAAGGACATCTATCTACCTACTTCCTGTATGTGAACCCAGACTTCTGGGCCTCTAAATTCCGGAACTCATACCTTGAAAAATCATCTTTTAGGGCCAAATTTCTCATATGGGTACCTTTGGTCAACTTATTTAAAATTTAAATCATGACTCTTTCTATTTATGAGTCATGAATTAAAATCTGGTCATGAGCAATAAAACATTCCTGTCATTTTAGATATTTTCTTCCTAGGTATTTAAAACAAGATGTTTCTGAGTACTCCTTCCAGCTACTCATGAAACCTGCCCCCTTGTTGAGACACAGCAAGGATGTACAAGGCTTCTGAAGCAATTTGCTCTTTATTCAACAAAAAATGCATTTTCTACATATTCTAAGGTGGTTTTCTACTGGGATTTGTGAAATAATTAATATGCTCATTAAGCAATGGTCTCCACATGGTTTATAGTTTTTAATTATGAAATGTTGGGGGTTATACATTTGAAATAGCGTACATTGTGGTTTTCATTTTAGATGAGCATTTCTCTTTTAAAATATTATTATTATTATTAATTGGTGTGTGTGTGTGAGAGAGAGAGAGAGAGAGAGAGAGAGAGAGAGAGAGAGAGAGAGAGAGAGAGAGAGAGAGAGAGAGAGAGAGGGAGAGAGAGAACGTGCTCGCATGCAGGTGCCTGATGAGGTCGGAGGTATAGGAGCTGGCTGGAGCTGGAGTTGCAGGCCACTGTGAGCTACCTGATGTGGATGCTCAGAATTCAACTCAGCTCCAATGCAAGAGAAATATGTGATCTTCCCCAGGTTGTGTTTTCATTCATGTGTATGTGTTTGTATTTGTGTGGAAGTACACCATATGTGTGTTGATGCCCGAGGAGGTCAGAAGACAGCATGATTCCTTGGAGCCCTGAGTTGCACACCATGACTGTTGGGTGCTGGGAAGTGAGCTCTGCAAGAGCAGGAAGTACTCTTAACCACAGGGCCTTCTCTCCAGCCTCCAGACGAGCACTTTTTAAAAAGATAGCAAAGAGTGTAATAGGTGCCTCAGACTTACAGTATTACAGAGTTTAATTCACACTTTACTTATTTCCCTAACCTTACATCTTTTAATAGAAAGCGATGGGTCTGATGGGCAAGCTTAGGTTAATATATACCTTAACAAACCAACGCTCAAGAGGATAATTATTAGTAACAACTTAGAAAAATGATATGAAAATCAACGTTATAAATTAATTTATCTAGTATTTTAATGCATGCCAACAAAATAAAAGATAAGCTAAGAATATTGTTTCTTTGAATCTGATTGAAGTTCTAACAGTAAGGACATAGTCATGGAAGAGAGGTTGGGAACATCAAGTAATAGGCAAGTCTGGTGACCCAGACTCAGGTTTCAGCTGCCTGTGGCCTTGGACAGATTCCCTGAGCTTCAGTTTCCTTACCTGAGGGTTACAGTGTTTTGTCCTCATGGTGTTGTTTGAAGATTGTATAGCTAATAGCAGAGGTATGTGCCTGATATATTGTCCAATAAATTTAGTCTCACCTTTAGTGTCACGTTTTAAGTGCAATTGTTTATTTAATCCTGGTTGTACACCGAGTTCTCAGATGATTTGGAGACGGACGCTCACCATCGTAAGTAAGGGAAGACTCCTTCTTTACATTGGAATCTGGGGTGGGACATTGTACTGCTTCTGGGCGTCCTAAGCAGACACAGTTTGAATAGCAGCCAATAATTCCAGATGGAATTTAGGCTGTAACCCCTCCTTCCCCCTGTTATCACTCAGCAGTCCTGTGTCTTCTAGAAGCATTACTAAAAAGGTTAAGAAATCACCCACAGGGTAGACTGTTCTCGTTTCTATATTTGCACTTGGAGATAAAATGTCTTTATACTTAGGGCTTGGCTGTCTCTTCCACAGCCAGCTACATTGGGTAATGCACAGTAATGCAGACCTCCATGGAGGGGATGATGTTAAATCTATTATTCTCTACTTCTTCCCTTAGATGATTTGTCTTGTCTGACTAACTTAGTAACAGATAAAGTGAAAAGCCCCAAACAGGTCACTTCAAGCTAA